GGTGGAAGAGGATGCTAGCGACATCTATTGATTTCTTCGCAAATAATTTTTACTGCCAAGCAGAAGGCAACAACGTCGTAATAATTGTGGAATATTCAATTGAAGAATGCTCTGTGACAGACAATGAGATACAATCAAGTGGGGGGAATAATGTGCTTTACGTCAGTGCATGTATATATATGAGTGCGCATATGTACTCGCAGGGGAAAACCAACTAGTATGCCAAAATTCTGGTTAAATACAAGTATGCTGAAGCTGAAATTATACCAGTTCGTTATTTGTAAAGAAATTCACCAGTAACGGACGAAGTGACCATTTCCACCACTGTTTGTTGCTGTTATATCGGCAGAGGTTAGAGGTTATCTCTGTAGCGCGTTAAGCCCTCGGTTCGAGTCCCGCTGGAGGCAAATTAATATATAATTTTAATTTTTGAACGTCATTCGTATGTTGATTTTGTTTTTACTATGACACGGCGAGTTTAATTTTCTGAAAAGTTCTGATGAAGTGCGCAGATCTCGTTCCTCCATAGATCATAACGATAGTCTGGCGGTTAGAGGTCTTCACTGTGCTGCGTGAGGGTCTCGGTTCGATTCTCGCAGTCGGCCAACTGAATTTTATTTGATTTAGTTTTTTTTTTTGGTTGTTTGGTGAAGTAGAAATTCAAGATGCCTAAATGAACTAGTATTGGATGAGTGCATAAGTTCGTGCTCGATTTCAAGTGCAAACTAAAATTGAGATTTTTTGAAGAAAGCGCTTTTATTAATCAATTATGTATTCGCCAACATGTTCGGCAATCCACTTCCAACGTTCAACCAATTTACGGATGCCTGATTCATAGAAATCACGCGGTTTCTCGTAGAAAAAGGTGTCAAGGTGGTTTTTGACGTCTTCCACATTTTTTAATTTTTTTCCATTCAAATTGCTCTGCAGCGATCGAAACAAATGATAATCAGAAGGTGCAATGTCGGGTGAATATGGTGGATGCGGCATGATTTCCGAATTCATCTCCTTCAGTTTGGCCAGGGTCGGTCTTGCAACATGTGGCCTGGCATTGTCATGTTGGAAAAGAACTCCTTTGCGATTAGCCAAAATCGGACGTTTTTCATCAATTGCTTTCTTCAATTCGAACAATTGCTGACAATACTTGTTGGCAGTGATCGTTTCTCCAGCTGGCAAGAGGTCAAAATAGATCACGCCTCGGATATCCCACCAAATGCTCAGCAGTACCTTCATCGGATGCAATCCACCTTTCGACATAAGTTCCGCCCCTTCGTGTACCTATTTCCATGTTATGTCGGGCACGAACTTATGCAATCATCCAATATTAAACTAGTATGAAGCTGATGCATAGTAGGAAAATTGTCGGCTCGTAAGACATCGCCGTGTTAAAAATACCAGTTGCTAAGATCGAAAATGGATGACGGTGAACTAGTTGGCGTAAAAATGCAGACTAGTTGAATTCTCGTTGACAACTATTATTCTCCCCTCCAGGATAACTAAATACATACATTAAGTATACTTTGAAAGCTTGCACCGCCACAGCAGGTATTAGATAACTGTTTATGTATGCATGTAAAAGTATATGTATCGTACAAAATATAAGCGAAAACATAAGAATACACCCACAAAGTGGCATCTTTTAAAGGTTACCGTTAGGTATTTAGTGGGAGTTAATTGTGCGAAAATGCTATAGAATGAACACGGAATTTCTTTATGAACCAACACATTCTTCCGTTATGTGTATGTATGTATGTATGTATGTATGCTTGTATATAAGTATGATTTCCTTCAACAGTCGTCAAGAGTATGTCAGTTATTTTTATTTTCCGCTATTTGCATTGTATTTGCTATTGTTATTAACTTCGTTATTGTGCCAGTTGGCAGTTGGCAGTTGACAGTCAATGTCAATGGTGTTTTCTCATTTGCGCAACAAAAGAAAGGGAACCACCACAAGTCAATACCTACATTCGTACGTATCAAAGGTTAATGAAGTTTGGAAGCGCAGTAAATGACATTTTTCTGATTTGAAAGGAATATCTGGGCGGTAAAAAGATATTGCGATTTCAATTGGGCACCGCTCATCGGATAACTGAGGCAACTTCATTAAGTTTGGTATACTTATTAAAAAAATATTAGATCTGTCCCTCTCTCCCATTGAAGAAAATTGAAATATGAGTTTTTAGACCGTTATATTGATCTCATATATACACCACTGAATTGGTAAATCTATCTAACATCTTGTAGGACAAAAGATTTTCCACGATATGTGGTTTCAACAAGACGGTGCCACATGCCACGCAGCACGCGTATCAATGGACTTGTTGACTGGCGAGTTCGCTCAACATTTTATTTCACGTTCGGAACCGGTCAAATGACCGCCTAGATCGTGCGATTTAACGCCTTTTGATTATTTCCTGTTGGGCTATGTTAAATCGAATGTCTATACTGACAAACCCGTTTCAATTGACGCATTGGAGAACAACATTGAAGCATTTGTTCGTGGGAGACTGGCCGAAATGTTTAGAAAGAGTATGCTAAAAGTGAACTAAGCGGATGGACCATTTGAGGCGCAGTCACTGTCAACATTTGCATGAAATAATCTTCAAACATTAAATTACATGAACGTTTTTTTTTTTTTTAACTTTCCCTTAGATTTTAAAAAATCACCCTTTACTTCTTTATTGAAGCAATTTTATTGCTTTTAAGCCTACAAATGGTTAAGCAAATACTTATGTATGATTGAAAAATTCTCTTCTCTTCTCTTCTCTTTCCCTGCAACTTTATTCATTCATTTGAAAATGTCGAAAATTTTACCAGAGAAAGTGTTTTTGCGTGGAGTTCTTCTTCATTGCTTTAACATGAAAAAGGTGATACCGAAAGCCGTCGCATTTTACTGGACGTTTGTGGTGACCAGGCTTTAGCCGAACGAACATGCAAAAACTGGTTTGAACGGCTTAAAAGTGGCAATTTCGAAATAGACGACGGACATCCAAAAAAATTTCAAGACGAAGAATTGGAGACATTGCTCGACGCAGATATATGCCAGATGCAAGAGTAACTTGCCAAAGTATTAGGAGTTGATCAAGCAACCGTTTCAAGATGATTAAAATCATTAGGATTTATCCAGAAGCCAGGAAATTGGGTGCCTTATGAGTTAAAGCCAAGAGACGTCGAACGTCGATTCTGCATGTCGGAAATGTTGCTTCAACGCCAACAAAAGAAGTCATTTTTGCATCGGATAGTCACTGGCGCTGAAAAATAAATTCATTATGATAACCCAAAGCGCAATAGATCGTATGTGAAGCCCGGCCAACCATCGAAATTCACGGCAAGGCCGAATATTTTTGTTGCCAAGGTTATGATATGTGTTTGGTGGGGCCACAAGGGTGTGCTCTATTATGAGCTATTGAAATCGGGTCAGACGATCAATGTGGACCTCTACCGAAGACAATTGATTCGTTTGAAAAAGGCCATCGCAGAAAAATGACCAGAATATGCGACCAGACACGAATCAATAATTTTTCACCATGACAACGCTCAGCCACATGTTGCAAGGCCAGTTAAAAACTTTTTTAAAAACTGTGGGTGGGAAGTTCTACTTCAGCCGCCTTATAGCCCATACATAGCACCTTCCGATTACGACTTGTTCAGATCAATGCAGAATGCCCTCACCGGAGTACGCTTACATCAGAACAGGGTATCATAAATTGGCTCGATTCTTTCTGGACCTTCAAGCCGGAGAAGTTCTTTTGTGATGAGATCCACAAACTGCCAGAAAGATGGGCAAACATCGTAGCTTCCGATGGGCAATACTTTGAACATTAAATGTATAAAAACTTTTTCACCCAATAAATCCGTCGTTCTCGAAAAAATTCCATTTATAACTTTAATGTATTTGTTTTTATTAATTTTATTGCTCTATTTCACTGAAACAAAAAAAAAAAAGCATAATAATTCTTTGTTATTTCTCCATGTCCCTGGGAACGAAATTGGAATTACAGCAAAATGCCGCATTTCCATTTGACTTCCACACATCAAAGTTGACGCTTGTAAACGACAGTTGACAAACTGCAGCAGGAAAACATTCAACAAACTAGACTAACTTGTGGATCTGCATGCCACAATTGTGTACGAGTATGTGTCGTATAGGTCCGTTGCAGGAAGATACAAAACATTTCATAAAGCAAAAGATGAGGACACTTGTACGCCAGAGGGTGTGGGGTGTAAGAAGTTCATTGAGGCGAAATTCTTCAACGTTTTGTTGTTGCCATTACTTGTGTTGTTGTTGTTATGATTGCCAATGCTATTTTGTTTACAACTTTGCCTCTTTAGTCGTCATCAGTGCGAATGTGCGCATAAATGTGTGTGTGTGTGTGTGTATGTGTTCATTGTGTGCAAGTGATTGAGTGTACTTGCAACATAAAATAGCGTAAATTGAAGTGCGTGGCAAGTGGGCATCTCTAGCTTTGTCGAATCGACCATATGAATACTCAACGGTGAATGTTCTTGCTCTGGAATGTGGTATGGTGTGGTGTGGTGTGGTGTGTGGCGAATGACTGACTGACGGCCTGCTAAGGCGGTTTGTGGCTACTTCGTTTGTGGCACTACAAATACTGCCTGAGTGCTACTGTGCGTGTGTTGTTGTTTTAACGCTACAACAGCTACTGTTGCTGCTGCTACCGTGTCTATCAATACTTCTGCAAATGATTGTCCGCCTCTTCAAGTGACTTGTAAGCCTCTCTGTGTGTCTAACTGTGTGTATGGCTGTCTGTCCGTTTGCGTAGATTTCGCACATCGACAACTGCTCTGTTGTGCTTACGTGTGTACGCTTATATGTATATATATATATATTACGTGTTTACAGGTGTCTGTTTGTCAAAACAATTTCAACTTGCCTTGGTTGTGTGTACTACGGTCTGTTATTGTTGTTGTTTTCTTGCCATCGGAATTTTTTTAGTGTTGCCCGACCAGTTTCAATTTCAGTTTCAATTGTGCCTTACCTCAGCCTGTCGATGGTCTGTGAAGCAGACACACAGCATTCAGTCCCTTTTTGTGCTCATAATTCTTGGACACTTCACGAGTCTCGCTTACTACTTTGCTAATTTAGATCCTTCGGAACACTTCATTGCGCCAATTTGCTTGCTACAATACATTCATACATACAAATATTTTACTCCATTTAAGTATGCTCATAAACATCTACATACAGACATACACATAAGTATTACAGTCCGCAGTTCTGCCACTGGACCAGCTCATTTCGATGCGTAATTTACGCTCTCGCCAAACAATTTCTGCGATTTTTTTTGTGTTTTTTTTTCATTTACTCACTTTATTTTTATTAATTTTTTCCTGCCCCCTTGTGCGTATTTCTTTATATAAATATATACATTTGTACATATAATACATTTATCTGTCTGTTTGTGTTTAATTTAAATGGCATTTGCTTTTTCAACCATTGCTTATACGTATGTAGGGGACAACTGCCTCAGAGTGGCCGTAAATGCCTTAAGCTACAGCTGCCACATACCACAGCGTAGCCAAAGTAATTGACAATATCTCTCCCCACCGCAGCCTCATGGCTTATACTTCTTGCTCAAGCGTTTTCCATCTTTATGCCAATTCATTATAATATTCACGAGATATATTTCTGTTTTGTCTTTTACAATTTAATTTTCTTCTCTCGTAGAGTCTTTTGTTTGAAATATTCTTTGTCTGCATTGTAATTTAAATTTTGCGATTTTATGACGCACACTTGGCATCTTTATCAGCGATGGCTGTAAATTATTTACTAAAAAAAAAAATTTCGTTTTTTTTTTACTCACAACTCAGTTCTTTTTTTATTGGATCATAAAAAAATATAGATCTATTTATGGAATAACACTTTGGGAAAATGGTCTCAATCGGCTTTCCGTATATATACGAACTCGTTTGTCGATCGTCAATGTCCCATCAATGTCGTCCAATTTCAGATGCCCAGCTCCAGTCGCAGTCACTGCTTCATGAGACTCTTTTTCAAAAAAAGTATGGTCCAACTATGCCCACAATCCTAAATCCCCACCCAGCAGTGAAACATTGTTTGTATTTCAACAACCACATGTGGGCTCTCAGAGCCTCAAAATCAGCAATTAGACGAATTTCAAGGTGAGAACACACACTTTATTGCTTAATGTGATTTCGCTCGAAAAACCGGTACCCTTTTGTTAATTCATTCAACAAAAACTCTTTTCAATGAATTGGCCATGAAGCTTTAGTTGTCGTGATAATTGAATTTCATAAGCATGGGCACGCAGAATTTTAATCAAAATAGGCTGTAGAGAGTTCTTTGAAATTTCCAAATTCTTGTTCACGACGGCGAATTGAGGTACCTCTCGCGCACTGTTTTAATATTGTCATTTGGACGATTTGGGCTTGGATAAATAGTGGGCTTGGCGTCCATTTTTACTAACCTTGAACTATGAGATGTTGATTTGTTTTCCAGGGTTGTCAACACTTTACTACATAAATGGCGGCGAATTTAAGTCTAGCGTTAATTTTGAGACACCCTGTATAATATACATATAATATTATATATAAAATATTTAAGGACCGATTCTGTTCTCCACACAAGCTTCATACATAACTTTAGTGCAAAAGTTCAATTCAGCTCCAATTTTAGTTAAAATTTTGCTTAAATTCAAATAATTATATAAATATATATATATATATATATTGTAAATATAATTTAAATAAAAATGTTTTCCAATTCTCATACATTTTTAAAGCCTAAAATATCTCACATTCGTACGTAATTTCCTCTAAAATCTATTATTAATCGCGAATGATATTCAACATGCATATGTATAGGTGTATGTACGAGTATGTATGCATCTAGACTTAACTAGCTTGACTCAACTTTCTGCACATTAAATCTGTCAGTCGCTGAAAACTACACAATAAGACAAATAAAAACGAAACAATGAATTAAAGATATGATAATCCATAAAATATTGGATTATTTATCATCATCCAAGAATTTATTTTATTGTTATTACACACATTTCATAGGCAACTGTCTATAAACTTTACTGTCAGTCTGTGTACAAACCTCAGTCATAATATTTTATTATTTATTTAATATGTTCTTTTTCCTTCTTCGTTATGATTTTGTGTTGGACTTTTGGTTTTACCTACAGATTTTACATATTTTTCATTGAATATATGAGCAGAAATACATATATTTGTACATATGTATATACATATATACTTTACATATATATGTATATATCAGTACATTCAAAATCGGACAGTTCATTTAATATTCAACATTCGATTTGTTGTGACTTAATGGTAATCATAATCGATATAAGACGAGACAGCTTTGTTCTACTCACATGAGTACATGAGAGAGATGTCTGTGATGGGGGTGTGTGTGTGAAATGTGGATTCGAGTGCAGAGCTTTGTTGTATACAAAATAAGAGAAATATTTAGCATTAAATTGCTATTTTTTTAGTTTACAAAGTTGAATTACAACAGGATTTTCTAGAGCTTGATGCAAGTAAGTTTGGTCAGCATGAGAATGGCTTAGGCCGCTTGCAGAAAGAAAAAGTTTAAATAAATTGAAAAAGATGAAAATTTTTAAAATAAAAATAAATTTTTTATTGATAAAAAGAGCTTTATTACTAGTGACCTTTTTTCGTTAATACTATTTCTATTTTCATTGTTTCAATATATATGTAGATACAAGACTGTGTTGGAATGAATGAAACATTTCGACTTTTTTCATATTTTGCATAAACAATCGGAAATTATTTTAGTATGCTGTCTACTGTCTCTGACATGTGTCTAGATGATAGAGTGTTTCCGCAATTAGAGCAGGGAAGACCCGCCAACTAAAGATAGCTCCCCTTCGTCCAATATATTTTCTCTTTCCAGTAACAATGAAGTTTGAGACCATCCTGCTTCCATCATTTAACCGCTATGTAAACCGAAGCGTACATAAGAATGACCTTGGTGAAGATTACAGCTGTGCAAACCGACACTGCATGCAAACTATCCTGGTGCCACTGTACTAGTCAACACAGTCAGTCACTCAGTGATACTTTCACACAATGAGGTTTCCTAATTACTACCCTGGCTTGAGATGTGCGCTATGAATTACTTTAGTGTGCGGAAGTCATCGGTAGAATTTCGAGTTTAGCGAAGGAAGAACCTACGGCTCGATCCGAATGTGAAAGTCGACGTCATATCTCGAACGATGGTTAACTGTGTTCCTTACAATAATGGCAATTGCTCTGGTCGCTTGACCAAAAACCGATTGTTTTTCTGGCACGTGTATTGTTAATCACACACTTACATTCATATGTAGATTAAATGATTTCTATAGAGTTAAAAAACAAAAAGTTTTTCACGTTTTATTGGCAAAGAGAACGTACCGTTGTTCATATTTTTCTTCAAGCCGGATATTATACTCGTATATACCTCCTTTTGTATATTTATTATGTGTTCAATTCAAAAAATTTATTTATGAATGAAAATATTTAAATATGTTGCTTTTATTACCACTTTTCAGTTATATTTATTTTATTCTTCAATTTAGCTATTTTTTCCTTTCATCTTATTTTCAAATCTTTGTTGCCTCCACTAAAACGCTCTCACGCCTTTTCAAGACATTTCTATCAAGTCAAAGTCAAAGAACTGATTCCTTTCTTCACCAAGCACACCGCTGTGTTATTCTTTCTTCGCTCAATGCTCAATTCAATTATAGTTGGTTGCTTTTGCGTTTATTTAAAATAAAAAGAAAATTAGCTTAAAATTTACGATCTTACCTTTGCATTGAAATTTCGTACAAAACGCACAAACGCCGAAAGAAGATAAGAAATTCTACAATTTTTTATGTGATTTTATTTTTAACTGCGTACGCTTTGATGGAGCTCATGTTTTGACTTGTTAATGTGTCTAACATGACAGTCGAACATGACGGTTGAGTAGCCGCCAAGGTAGAAAGAGGCAGACAAGCGTGTGTTGCTTGCTTACCGCTGGAGGCAATTTTACTCTCGACCCTTTGTGCAGGCAAGCATGTGGTCAGGTGTATGTGAAATGTATGTTAGGTATGTATGTAAAACAACTTCATACACCAAATTGTAAAGGCCCAGACATGCACTCATAGTACATGCAGAATACGAAATTTCTTTGCTTTGAATCAAAAATAAAAATTAAAAAAAAATTAAAAAAAACAGTTGAATAAAGTATAACAAAATAAAGTAAAATAAAGAAATATCAAATAGTATAATATATCATACAATTAAATTGAATTAAAAAAAAAAAAACGAATGAAATAAAATACCATAAAATAACATTAAATGAAATTGAAAAATTAATACAGTACAATAAAAATTAAAATAAGATAATACAATGAAAAAAGATAAAGTCCAATTAAACAAAATAAAATTAAATTAAATGAAATAAACAAAAGCAAAATCAACTAATATAAAATAATATAAAAAAAATTGAATACAGCAAAATAAAACAAAATAAATAAAAATAAATTTAGTTAAATAAAGTGAAATAAAAATTTCAAAACAATAAACGATAAATTAAATACAATAATAAAAAGCAAAATAAAATAAAATACCATTAAAAAAAATTAAAATAAATAAAATTAAATAAAATAAACGAACTGAAATAAAATTAAAATAATAATATAAAGTATAAAAATACGTAACAAAATAAATAAAATAAAACAGAATCCAAAAAAATAAAATTAAATATAACTAAAGAAAAAAATAAAATACAAAAAAAAAAAAAACTAAAACAAATTAAACTAATTAGAAAAGTTATCTACTTTAATAAAATAAATCAAATAAAATTAAACATATGAAATAAAATAAATCAAACCAAATTAAACATATGAAATAAAATAAAAGCAATTAAATTAAAAAAATTAAATTAAAACAAAACTAAATAAAAGGAAATGGATAAATTAAAACAAAATATAATAAAGTAAAAAAATTAAATTAAATAAAATAATATAAAATAAAAATTAAACTAAACAAAATATTAAAAAAATTTAAATTAATATAACATAAAATGAAATAATTATATAAAAAATATAATATAATCGATAAATTAAATTAATAAATTAAGAATAAAAAAAATATTAAAAATTAAATGAAAGAAGCCTAATAAAATAAAACCAAACAACACAAACTAATCTAAAATAAATCAAAATAAAACAAAATAAAGTAAAAAAAAACTATGTTAAATTAAAAAAAAATATTCAGTTAAGTGCAATAATATTAAATTAAATACAAAAAATGTATATAAAGTAAGGTAAACAAAATGAAATATTAAAAATAAAAAAAAAATAAAAAAATGCAGT